CCACTCCCACATTTCCTTTCACAAGCTCATTTTTTATCCTGTCCCTTCTTGTCACACTGATCGTAATTTATATTATTACAAATACCTCCTGTTGCCTATCCTTGCTTTAACTAACCACAATTTGTTTCGAGTCTCTTCCTTAATCTTATATAATAATATTTTCTTTTCGTCTAGAGGCCATTTATATGCCTTAATACTTTTTCATACTTTTTACTTTTATTTTTCTTTATTTTTTTCGTGTCGTACAATATTATCACAAAAAAAAATTTAGCTGAATAATTAGTCGTTGCCGATTTTTTTCATTAATTTAGTTGGATATAATAAAGCTATTGCGTTAGATTACATTATTCATTTAACCACGTTTGCATTAAAACTATTTGGATTATATTACACATAACTGTTATAAATAATCATAGTTTCGTAAAGGATTTTATGAAAACTCGAATAATTTTGTCATTTTATACATAGGTAGTAATATTATAAGTTAAATTAAGTTATTTTAATTTTAATATATTAAGAAAAACAAGGAGAGCAAAAAAAAATATTGCACACAGTTTAAAAAAATAAAAAACTTCCTTTGCTCAGGTTACAAAATATTCCATAGTATCGTTTTTGGATTTTAAAACTTAGAATAGATCTTAATTTTCTGAAAATAGCATAATGATTCGTGATGTAAGCATGTGTTCTTCTCAAAATTACAAATCCGTAATACATTGTTACCTATGATTTGTTTGAAGACGTAGATAGTTTTTACAACTTCTCTTTCTAAAAGTTGAAGTAACCAACAATGCGTACATGTTAAGACAAACAGTTAGTTGATTAAAATTAAATTTTCAAAACTTCTTTTTAATAATCGAATCATTGCTTTTTAAATTAACAACTTGGCTTAAATATTGCTCTACACCAGACGTTGTTTATTTATTTTTATTTTTGTTGTCGTTGTAACTGAATGATAAAAATTTTAACGAGTTCAAGTTTACTTAGTGCGTATTGTTGAAGACTTGCGGTTTTTGTAAGTTAAGTAGCAATATTATTTTATATGTATATATTGAAGTTTCTAAATTTTATTTTATTTAATAATTTTACGACATTTTTTATTTTTATACTGTTTATTAATTTGTCTTAAACATAGGTTTACAATTATCGCAGGGTATTTATGTGTAATGTAATATTTTATAATATAATACACGTATGTTATTTAATTGACTTTAACTCTGAAAGAAAACTTACGTGTTTATAATAGTTTTTAGGCTTAATTTGTTCTCGGTTAAACCGGATAAAGTTGACAACTATATATATATGAAAAGATAGAATTTGAACATATAATAACCTGAAATGTGCTTACCAGCTCAACTATATATATGGACTGAATTCGTTTTCTTCACATTTTCACCGTAACCTGCTTCCCCTATCGTTTATTTCTCATTGGCCCGGTCTGAATTATTTATATATAAATATATATATATATATATATATAGATAGATATATATATATTTGTGTGTGCGGGTGTGGGTGGTGGGGATAATATCAGATTTTGCTGAATGAGTTGTACGATAATGTGCATTGCGAAATGAAAAATACGTCGGTGTGCCGCAAATGAAAAAGAAGAAAGGTAAAGGGAAAAAAAGAATTCACAGTGGATTGGAATTCGGTATTTATATTAAAGCGAAAGCGTATAGATAATACAGAAAATGTTTTCTATAGAAAATTACAAATCGAGAATATAATTAAATTACGGTATGAATGATATTCGATTAAAAATTTGTAGGAAAAGTAATTTCGTGAAAAACAATGAATACATTTATTTTAAGTTAAAGTGAGGAGAAAACAATGCGGTAGAGTTATATTTGTTAGATCTGTTAAGAAAATTCAGATTGGAGTATCTGAATACTTATATTTTGTAAGTTAAAAAAGAAAGAGTTTGTATAGCTTATGATAAAATACTGATATATTTTGAGATCTTCAGTTAAAACCTGAGCGCTGGATTTCTACTGAAGGAAGTAAAAAATGTGTGTATAATTATTTTTATATTTAATATGTTACAATAAAAGGTGTACAGTGAGAACATTGCACTATGGTCTATTAATTAAAATATTGGTTGTACTCATTGAACAACAATATTTCAAAAATATATGTCCATTAAAGCAAGCAGATAGGTAGGGTTTTTTGACTTGTTGCCGTAGCTCATATCTTTGATCTAATAAGTAAGTATTAACTCCTATAACAGCAATAACAATCTTAATATTAAATATTTAATTAGGTATATGTCATTTGTATTATTCTTCCCATTCATTAATAAGTGGTGTGCGATTTTATTTGGAGTCAGTATTGGAAAATTTGCTTTTTGTTTAGGATCGTTGTCCAAACGCTTAACACATTCCAGGCTTTTTTCGGCTTCGTAAGGACTAGTTAAAATGTCGCATCACATCACTTTCTTCTATTTTGCCAGTGATTTTATTAGTCTTTATTCGGCTTATTTTGTTTTCTTTTCAAATGTGGTGGCCTCATACATTTCCGAGTAGGTATGTCTGTCTGCAGCTTATGAAGTTAGGCCTGGAATGTAATGTTTGCTTCAGTGCATTATTATGTAGCACAGTATTTTATAGTATTGAAGTTTTGTACACTAATAAAAATAATATTGCTACGTCTTTCGCCATCATGCCTCCACCTCAAAACGCAAATAGCTCCAAAGTATTTATTCAAAATATGTGACATACATTTTCTTCCAATTAAAATAATAAAGCAAAACACATTTTCTAGTAAAAATGTCTGACGAACAATGCGATACTTTTGAGTTGTCCGAATTCCAGCTCGAGACTTTAATTAAAAGCCTAAAAAATAAACTAGCCGACGAGCAAAATAAAATAGAAAAGGTTTTGGAATTGGCCAAAGAATTTGATGACGCAGGATTGGTATGATTGTTATTTTGAGTAGTTTAATTAAAATAAATGTGTGTGTGTTGTTCAGAATCGTTCGCCGAATATCTCTTTGGATGTAGACAAACATTTAAATTCTGCTTTTGAATTGAATTCAAAAATAGAAAGTTGTCTGGAAAAATTACAGAACATAAATGGAAAAGGCATATTGATCACGGTATGCGTTGTCTGTGGATGTTCTTAATGTTATAATGTGTATACAAATTTAGTTTGATTTATGATTTTTTCCTTTAGAAATCGTCGAATATTCTAGTTCAATTTATGGCTGCGATTCCGTCTGTTAGAATTGAATCGGGTCCAAAGGCTATGGTCGTAGTAATTTCCAAAGACGTCGAAGAGAAATATATTAAACTATTGAGGTAGCCACACAAGTACTATACTATAAAAAAATTGTTACATGCGCTCCATATTATTATTATAATAATCGTTCATGGCCGTTCAAAAGATTTTCAAACACAGAACTACGTTTTTGGGGGTCCATTGTATTAAACTTTTAAACTTTATCCATGTCATGCAATCATGCTAAAACGGTTGAACCGGTTTTAATACTGTTTTTTGGCAATGCATCCTATATTTTCAAGCACTTGGGAATGCTTAAGCTGTTTAAATTTTGTAATTAGAGTAGAAGTATGTAATATTGAAAGTGGTATCAAGTTAAAAAAGAAGTGGTAATACTGAAAGAGATACCAAGTGTTAGCTCAGGTGTTTTGTTACGCCATTTTCATGAAAATATATGTTTGTAATTTGTTTTTTTCTTTTTCTGCACTATCAAATACAATATAACACTTCAGTATTAATTGTGATAAGCTTTTAGTTTTGTAAGTTTGACTAATGATTTATAGGGATAAGAAGTCTATGGAAAATGTGTTAATAGTTTCATTGCCTAAACTTATATCGGGTGACGTTTGTGGAAGTTTGGCCAATGTGGAAATCGCACTTATCGACGGATCTGAAAAAAAGTATAAAGATTTTGTTGGTGGTGCCGGTGTCTGGTGGATGATCTCGCACCACGTGGGCAACTGCCTCTATACGATTAACAATGACAGTCATAGAGACTTGTGCTTTGAGGTAAGTGCTGGTAATCTCTTTACTTACATTGACTGTGTTTTTTCTATTTTATTTTACAGAGGTACTTGAAATCTACACAATGAGACTGTCTACGCGTATTGGTATATATTTATACAGTTAGGAATTATAATATAATAACTTTAAAAAAACGGGACCCTGTATACAACTTACACGCTTACTCAACTATGATACAAGTAAAATTTCATAACAATAACTTGTATAATGTTCAAGTTTTTAGCAACTAAAAATGAGCACAACGTGTATGGCCTTAGGCGGTACTAAGCCATGAGCGTTACTTGTTACTCTCAATCATACATCATATTACCATGTTCTATAAATATACATAAAATACTTTGTTCATATTAGTAATTTTTGAAAGCAATACATTTTACTGATAAATTATGATAATTCATAAATATGAGCACATTAACTAAAATAAAATGACTCATGAAAGTTGTATTGGTCATTGTTAACACTCACAAAATTGTCGAGTTACTTGATGAAAGTTATTATCAGGTGCAATACAATAATCTACTTAAGGTTTCATTGTATATTAGTGCGATTAATTAAAGTCGCTGTCCAGGATGCTGTGATTGTCCGAAAAATAAATTAACTACCAAAAGAGAGTCCTGGTTACTAAATTAATAATTGTACATTACAGTTTAACCTTTAAATGTGAATTGGCTTTTTTATTATTTTGAAGTTAAGATTCACGGCCGGAGATTGATCCGTGGACCGGTCACGCTAAACACAATAGTCTAGGCGTGGAAAATTTCTGTTGTGTAATCAGCTCAAAAGCATAACCATTTTTAAAAACAAAGTTTTCGGATTCACATTAGAAAGTAAATAAAAACAATCTAAAATATACGTTACAAAAAACAATCAATATATTTTTTAATTTATTAGGAAGTTATGATTCGACTTTCTTTAATCGTATGGAATATATCATTAAAGATACATCATCAAAGATATATCATCAAAGATATTAAAATTAAATTATCTCTTTTCTGTATCACCACCACACCCTGTTCTGATGTCTGAAATTGTATCATTCGATGTTTTTGTCATGTAATCATTTTGACTTACTTTAGTTTGCATATCTTCAATCTTATGTAGTTTATTAGCTATTATTTTACACCGCTGTTGTTTTCCTAGGAGTTTCATTTCCAAAAACTGTTTCTCGTTGATAAGTTTGGTTTTATAAATATCAGTAATGAATTTCGTTTCTTGTGCTTCAAAATTTGTTCGTTTTCGTTGAGTTTCTAATCTGTCATGGGTCGTTATTAGGTCTTGGTTTTTTTTTTTTAAATCTTCAATTATTATTTTAATACTTTTCAGATTTTTTTCATAGGTATCGCACGTATAAAGCATGACGTCTTTGTCTTTTTTGAGTTTGGCTATGTTCTCTTCTATGATAATATCTTGCTCGTTTTTATTTTTTATTAGCTCGTTTAAAGTCTTTTCCGACTCTTGGATGTCAAGTTTTATTTTAGATAGTTTTTCAGTATTAATCACATCGCAATGTAATGTATTAGTTTTGGCCTCGGCCATGTCTAGTTTATCGACAAATAATGCTAGTTTTTCTTCAGTTCCTCGCTGAAAGGCAGATAGTTTTTCAGTTTCTAATTTAACTAATATATTTTGCGATCCGACTTGTTTTTCCAAATCTTTTTTGATAATTTCATTTAAGTCGTGCAGTAACGATTTCTGATTAACGTTAAACGTGGTCTTTTCCAGATCGAACATTAATTTGTCTAGTGTGTGCTCTTGTTTTTTGTTGTCCAATATCAGCGATAACTCCCAATCCTTAGTTGACAGTGACATAAAAAAATACACAAACTGAGAAATGAGATACTAAAACAAATCCTTATAAATTAAAAACGCTAATTATTATCAAACATATTTACTATTTAGTATTTTGTGTATGGGGAGGTATATTGTCAAATGGCATCTGATGATGACGATGAGAAAATAATTAGACATTAGGAACGGGTGGAGAAGCTGCTGTGGGCCGGTGAACTTGTTTTAGGCGGTAGGAGTCGGCGAACTCTGCATGACATAAAACCCATTTCCACATAGGGGGGGCGTCGTTGGATAAAAGATTTTGATGCTAACGGGGGCGACAGTTCTAAAAAGGTTAAGATCCGCTGGTATAGAACAAAGCTAAAACAACCCATTTGTATAAGCCAAAATAATAACTTGCATTATTAGCGTTAATTAAGGAGTGAAAATAAAATGTTTTATAGTTTTCTACCTTTGCTACTTCTGAACTTTTTGCCGCACATTCTATTTCTTTATTAAGAAATATACTTTGCTCTTGTCGTTGTTCGACCATTTCGTTTAACTCGGCAACTTGGCGGGTTAGAACAATGTGTTTTTCGAATATTTCGCTTAGCTCGTGTTGTTGGTCGGACGCCTGTTTTTTTACTGCTAGATACCGATCCCAGAGTCGGTCATTGAATTGTTTCAAAATGCTAAGCGAGTCGTTTGTCTGTGTGTATAACTCGCGCAAACTAGACACTAATGACACATTTTTATCGACTGAATATTCTTCTCTGATATTCTTATAGTTGAGTTTAATGATGTTATTCAAATAGCTTTCTAAATCAGAAAACGTCTCCGGAAAATTAACATTCTCGTGGTTAGTAGAGTAAACCTGAAAGTTATACGGTAATAAAATAACATGTATTACACAAAAGTTCTTATTAATAAAAATGTGGCAATTCAATAATAATTAAGCCAAGGTAAATTCGGCTTAATGGATAGGTTTATTAACAAATTCCGTTTTCAAACTTAAATTTTAAACGATTTTTGACACTTATGAGTTTTGGACTATAATAATGCACTACAACTTACTGTGCACAATCATTATAACAATATCAAGTGTATATCATAAATTTAAGGTAAATAAATACCTTGTTATATAATAATTTGAAAATATATGCTGAATACACTTGATTAAAATTAAAATACTAAGAATTTTGTACTAAAATAAATGCATTTTTATTAACATGTACAAGTAGGTAGCTTACTTTTTCCATTTTGCTACTCATTAAGATTTTGAAATCTTGAATAGTTAAGATGATACTTCTTATAAAAATTACATAATATTACAAAAACAGACCATAGAATTATTTATAATGAAATATATAATGTTTGTTATAATTTATATATATATTTTTTTACATTTTCTTTTCCAAAATACTAGAATCATAGATTCAAAAAAAAAATTGTAATTTGAATTGTATTTCTTTTGTAGTTTGTAAAACTGTTATATTTATACATAACCAATAGCAACAAATAAAAATATTAACAACTAAGTTTTAAATCATTAGGTACATTAGAATTCAATGGCATGATGATTCAAATTCCTTATTTAAGATAATCTAAATTCTCAATATAGAGATAATACTAGATTTGAAATTTAGGTATAAAATATCTTAGAAATAGAGTGTTTTGTGTGATTATTAGATGAAAGTACTTGGATCTTTTTGAATGAAGATTTGCATTTTTTTTACCAATCTTATTTCAGCATTATTCACAGTTTACAAAAATGAAAAAAAAAACACATTTTGCTTTACAACTTGTCACAAACAACCACACTGTTTGATCCTTGTCTACGATTTTTTCTATTTCTACCATTCTACAATGGTACACATTTTGAATACTATTATAATTATAAACATTTATACATTTGTTCATATAAAAACCACAAAAACATTCCTGAAACCCATATCATGTAGGCTCAAAAGTTATTTGCTTGGAATACACTTCAGTTAAGTTAAAATAGGTAAAATAGTCTATTAATTTGCTTATGTTTCACACCTGGTAGTTTGGATCTTGTTTTACAGCTATTTTTACCCTACCGACCTTACTCCGAGTAAAAACTTTTTTTGTTTATCATTCCTACACTGTAACCTAAGGTCACTGCCCAAGTTTCATTAGACGACAGCATTTGATGGGTAATAATAACGTCGTAAAAGTTGTTTGCCAAAGCTTAATGAAATTTAACCGCCAACCGTGTTAAATTTTTACGCATACCTTATCGGTCCTGCGTTTAGATAATGTTTGCGCATATTATACATATAGGATATGCGTTTACATTGAGACAGTGTGTCTTAGGGCTGTAATACAGCCAATAGGGTCCCGGAAGTCGATAGAATAGTACTAACTATATAGGTACTGAAAATAAGTATTTAGAAATCGATTGTCAAGCGAGTTATCACCGAGCGATCATCAGAAAACTTTAAAAAAAAAACCATCAAAATTTTAATATTTTATTAACCATTAAAATAGTTTAATGGTTATTAATTTAAAATTAAAGTTAAGATAAGTAACTTGATCGTTTAATTTTATTGTACAATGAAACAACAATCAATCAATTAAAATGAGATAATTGACAACTTGTATACAAAACCGCATTAATAAAATATAAAAAAATAAAGTGATGAGATAATTGTTCAATACTTTTACTACTAGTAGGCCTATGGAAGACTTTGAATTTATTTACTTCTAATTTTAGAACGATGTGACTTTATTATTATCTATTTAATTGTAATATTATTTAATATAATGATGAAGACATGCATGTTCGAGCTAATATTAAATAATAATTAACATAATAAGTTTTAGCTTTGTAAATGTTAATATTCGATTAAATTATAGCGACATTTGGAAAAGAGTCTGAATTTTAAAAAAAAGAAACTAGTATCAAATAGACTACAACAATGAAATGGCACGTGTTAAGATAAAGTAAGTGAAATGATTAATGGTGTATCATACATTATTCTCACATCATACCAAGCCAAACAAACTTTTAAAAAAAAAAACAGCCAATACAGAACAACTTAATAATTAAGGCACTTTAATAGGTGTTCATAAAAAACATATTGACATGATCCGCTCATTTTTGGGAAGTCATAGCATATTTATGTTAACACTACAAATTTGAAAAAACTATCACAAATATAACAACTCTGACAGTTATTTAATCTGAATGTGATTTTATCACAAAATGTTTATTTAAAATAAATATGAAAATAATATTCGAATAAAAATATTATTTAAATACAAATTTAAACTATAAATTCAAGTATATGTTTATGAAAAAAACAGGCTATTTGAAACAATAAAAAAAATGTATTTAAATAAAAAATAATAAATAATACTATTTGTTATTTAAATAGAATATGCGCAGGTTTGATTTAGCGCAGCTTTTTGTCAGAAACTGTTTTAAAAATTGTCTTACGTAGCAATATTTGCGATAGCAAGAAGCTATTGGTTTTATAATGATGTTTTTTTACCTGTGGAACGAATTACTCGTGTAGCACCTCTATTAGATCCGGGAGCCTATGCAGTTGGTACTTTGGTGGGTCGAAACTTCTTGGAGGTTTTTTTTTAGGCGAAATGTTACAAATGAAATCTGTAGTCAAAATTTCATGATGAAAAAATCGGAAAAGTCACTTGAACACTATAAATGTGGATTTCGAAGACTATTATGGGCCTAACAACTCGAAATTCAGTATGCGACCTGTTGCGAAAATCACAAAACAAGTATACCAAATAAATAAAACAATTTAACATTTAAAAAAAATTTTTTAATTTTTGTAAAAATGATTTTGTGTTGCTAAACATATTTTAAGGACTTGCAAAAAAAAATAATCTTTAATAAACAAATTACTTTACTTGTGAAATAAAAGTTACTTTAAAAAGTGTTTTCGTTTTGCTCTATAACTACAAACTCCACTTAATACTAAAGGACAATCTGCACAACTTTTCTGCTACTTTGAAAAAAATTTGATCCGTAATAGTAAAAGCAATAGAAGTTTTTTTAACAGATGTTTTTCAACCATGTTTATCTAGCTATTTTATTAGTGTAAAAACGCTTACCGTTTACTAAAATGTGATATTAGATATTTATAAAATAATATTTGAAATTTGTATAAACGCAAATTATTTTCATTTTAAACAATTTATTGTGTTATAGTTTTACAGAGATTAATATTACATTTTTATTATCAGTTGTAATTTATTCTGTTAAAATTTGGAAACCGTAATGCACGGATACATTAGTGCACATACATGGTCGTAGATCACTGGGTTCTTTTAATTGACCCAAGTTTGTCAAACTCTTAACTCTATCTCTGAAACTAAAAAAAAAAAAAGTTATATATTACATTTTTATCGAAAACAAGGCGTAATATATTACTTTGTAAAGAAATTAATAAACCATTTTATGTAAAAGTGATGTTACAATAATACTATTGAAAGTCAAATATTTATATTTAATAAATACATTTTTTTTCCTTTTTAGAAACATAAAACGGGTTTGAGAAAACCATAGATGAAATAATATTACTATAAAACAATGTTTCTTTAACAAATGATTTGCACTCTAAAACCACTTTTTGCATAATGTTTTATTATAATGACACGACTAATTGAAACCTTACTTGTTTAAATTATTATTAACGAAATCAAAATGTGATCGTTTTATTCAAATGCTTTATAAAAAAAAAAACAAAAAAAAATAGCTTTACCCTCTTAACAACAACTAAGTACATTTAGAGTAGATGTAAAGGTTATCGTATGATTAATGTAACAAAAAAATAAAAAAATGAGATAATGAAAATAAAAAAAAACCCGTTTTTATAATATTGTTTATGGTGCAAGTAATTCAACTGAGTTTGTCTCTTACTTCGCAAAAGAAATATGAGCTTATTATGTATGTGTATATTAAATATTTTATAATAGATAAATTATTTCATAACTTACTTTTAGATACTCCATCATCATTCCATGCAATCGTGTATGCTGCACAAAGTATCACAAATAATGTAATAGTAATTAATTTCATTTTCCTGCTTAAAAAAAAAAATCCAGTTTGATAAAGTGTGTAACATAATAAGTAAATGCAGTTTTTCTGAAGTTAGGTTGTTCTATTTTAAATATTATACTTTTTTTTATATTATTAAAATATATTTAGAAGTAAAAGTATTAATTTTTGTAAACTAGTTTATTTTATACTATTAGAAAATATTAGAAAATAAAAAAATCTAAAAGCCGATAAATGAAACCACAGGAGAGATGCTGTAAAATTCAAAACTTTTTCAGAGTTGAAATTGGAAAAAATTGGGTACTTGATGGAAAATATGCCAAGGGTCAATTTACGCCTAATTTGATCACAGTCACGAGGCCCTTTAAATTTACCTTATATTTTGTTAGACTATACTCCCAATATTGGTTAAAAAAATAGTAAAAAAGTGAACTTAAAAGTTTAAAATAATTTAACTACAAGAACAATTTACCAATCAATTGTAGCACATTTTATTTAAAATGTGCTACAATTGATATAAGAGATATTTATTTTGAGATAATATAACTTTAAAAAAACGAAAATTAAATACAATTTTAAATAATGTTAAACATCTTTAATTTTTGACCAAAAAGAAAAGCGTGGGCTCTATTCAACAAAGTCCGTAATACATTTATCAAATAACATTTTAGATACTGTTTTATGTTGTAAGTTTTTTTGTAATTTAAATTTGATTCAATTTTTGTGTGTGACACATATGTGTACATTTTATAATACTTAACTCGATGAATTTAAACAATTAAGTGTGTAAAAAAGTGTGTTATGTACTAAATTAATTTTTTTACGACATTAAATAGAATATTTGTTTTTTTTTTTATATGATGATGTATTTAGAAAAAAACGTCTTAAATAGCCTAAATGATATGTGCAGAAGAACTAACTAAATTAAAAAAAAACTGAACACCGATTATTAAAAGCGCGACCTATAAATTAAACGTATATAGATTTTAATACTAAATTCACGGTGTAACCGTTATCCACCAAAATGACCCTCGACCGATATTCGGATTACCGCCAAAATAAATACAAATTTGTTACTTAATATGCTTTAAGAACTCCTGAACCTTATTTATAACATTTTTTATTTTAGTTTTATAAAATGAATTTATGTATTTTTTGAAAATATCCCTAATCAATATTTATTTTGTTAACCTAATAAACATGTCATACGATATACCATCTATATAATATACTGATAGTAATATAATTTCGTTAGTGGAAAAATCACGCGATTTTTTTTTATTCTGTCTGTAAATTAACTATTCATATACGAAGTGCTATTTTTGTTTATTATGTCGGAAAGAATTGAAGTAATTACGATTAACCGTGAGCATTTTATGCTAATTTATAACAATTTTAAATTTTACTACGCGTATACAGCTAAAAATGAAATTACACGATGGAGATTCTACAACAAAAGTGTACGGCTAAAATGTTCACAAAAAATAATAATTATGAACTCGTCAGAATATAGGGTAATCATACAGCAGGATATAGTGCTGTCGATAGACAAAGTTATTAGTTCAGCCTGTAATCGAAAAGCAGTAAATGATATTATAGATTTAGTTTTAGGGGTTCTTAAAAAAAATATTAAGTAACAAATTTTTATTTTTTTTTGCCGGAAATCGGAATATAACCTTTGGCGGAAAATGGCTGTGGTGATAGCGGTCGAGGGTCATTTTGGCGGAAAACGGAAACACCCAAATTCACTTACCTTTTATTAGTGTACTGTTATAAAGATGAGTGCCGTATTCAGTTTGAATTTTCGAAACTAATTATGAATTGACTATACCGTGTGTTTGTCTAATTATAGTCATTAAAAGCATGTTAATAAGCTTTTATGTGAATCAATAATTATTTATCAAACACTTGTTTAAATCGCATAGTATATCAATTTTGTTAACACAAGGGCGTACGGTATACGCCGATGTGTGTCTACATAACTCCTGTCTTGTAGGTAAAGAGTAATGACTGTCGATAAATCAAAACGATTTGTACATAGTTTTAAAAACAGCTGTAGATTTTGGTTTTTTATTAATATAAAAAAATTAATTGAACCCATATGATTAAATAACATGATACGATAATTTGAATAAAATAAAATATTTTAATCGAAAATATAGTGTACATTGGCATTTTTTAATAAGTTTGTGAATTTATAACTACTAACTACTGTTTAAAGTCTTAATTAGAACATATTTTATCCCAGCATTTATTGAGAGACCGAAAATTAGGCTACTAAATTAACATGACTAATGTAACTAGGGAGACCTATTTATTCAAACAAAACAATTTTGTTGGCAAATATGATCTATATTTCTCTCCCTAAATTACGTTTTAATGATATTTGTTTTTTACTTTTCAGACGACAACACATAAATAAAATTGTCAGGCGAATTGTTTACTAAAAAGTTTCTAAAACGTTTTTGGAAATATATTTTTTAAACGATTATAAAACAATTTAATCTATTGAGACTTATGCACATGTTTTCCCCAACAGTTTTAGTATCTCACACCCTCCCCCTTCTCAAATGAGCAGAGGGAATGGTGGACAATGCTTCACAGTGCTTCGGAAATATATCCCTATGTGTTTGGTTTAATTTGTACTATAACGCGTTTAAATTATAACTAATTATATAGACGCAAAGTTAAGTCCTATGTAGTATATTTGTTTTATAAATATAATAGCAGTTAACAATTGCGTTTATAATTGTGGTATCATTGCTTCTTTTTTTGTTTGTTTTTCCTTAAAAAAAAAAAGTTTAACCACAGATTTTTCAAAAATTGTAAATACATACATTTTACTAAATTTAACTTTAATTTAATTATCAAAATAAGTCTAATAACTACACAAAAAAAAGCTAATAAAGAAAAAAAAGTACTAATTTTAATTTTAAAATGTCACAACGAACCGTAATTTTAAGTTGAAAAATATGTAATTTGTTTATGATGTTTTTCTCGATTTTGAAATGGAAGGTTTTAAATTCTTTATATTTTGCCTTCTACACATTTTCTACATGAAGAATTTTAGAGATTAAAAAGTTATCGTGGTTCCAGATACTACAACAATAACATAAATAAAATAAAAATTATTAAAAAACTGTTCTGCATCGAAGTTTATGCTATTTTTTCATTTATTAAATTAGACAAGTGTTTAAGAGAATTATTTGTTTCGATCTACATCCCGTTTTATGCATTAATCACTATAAAAAAGTAAATTGCGTTAACGTCACATATAGTTTTATTTTAAAATGTTATCTATTAAATGAAAATCGCCCTCGAGGTTAGTTGTGTATACATGCATATGATAATTAAATATTTTTATTATAATGTATAACATTGTTATTCTCAACAGTAATATTTAAGTATGGTTTAACCTATAATTTTAATATTGCTAGACTGAACCTAATTTTTAGGCTAAACTAGAGAGAACGGTCATTAGTGTTTTAATTGAATTCTATAATAGAATTTAAAAACAATTTATAATTATAGCGTCTATACTTCAATACTCAAAATAAATAAACGATGTAGACGGCACTGAAGTAATGCTTAAGTAATGCTTCCGGGGCCGTCTACAATTCTAATCGTGAAAAAAAATCTGAAGTAGAACTGAGTAAACTCAGTTTTCTTAAAACCGTGCTTTAAATGATAGCAACGTTATGAATGATAATATAGTATAGTATTGTCTTAATTTTATGTTGTGGCCAAATGTTTTTTAGTCGTTTTTTTATACTTGGCCTATATCGGTTTATTGGTACCTCTGGTCAGTTATTTTAGATAAATTTAACCATTCATTTAATCGTGCTCGTTGTGGAAACTTAATCAATACTCAAGTACAGATGGAATCGAAATTAGGTGAACCTAATTAGGAGTTCCTAACCTCTTATCTTTAATATATAATCACTTACAACCGCTAGAGTAACTAATTTAGAGTACCTTATTAGGTGTAACTAATAAGGAGTATCTAATCTCTCTTATATCTTATCCCTAATCTATTATCTCTTATATCTTATCAAATAATTATTTATAAACCGCTAAATCGCGCCACAAGCACATATTTTCTAAGGTAAACGATTTTTAGTAGTTTTATAATATTTGGCCTTAATCAATATACTAGCAATATTTATCAATATTTAACTAGAAAAAACTGTTAAGCAAACTTATGGTTAAATATATGTAAAGATATAAAATCTACTTGAACCCTAAACCATAAAAATTATACACTTCTTGCGTACACGTGTTACGACAACGATGTTGCATCTTCAGCTACAACGACTGTTAGCGCTGAAGACACATCGTTGTCGTAACACGTGTACGCAAGAATGTACAATTTTATGTTTAGGGTTCAAGTAGATTTTATATCTTTACAATATTTAACATTTATCATAAATAAATTTCCGTGGTTCACCAGTAAGTAAGTGTCTACCTAACAAATAATTTGACAATTTTTAAAAATGTTATTTTCAATTAAAATCAATTAAATTTATTATTATTATACTTAGGTTTTAATAACTAGGTTTTTTTGGTTGATGTACCTATTATCGGCGCGGTGGCTGTAATAGTGATTATTTTTTATCATCAGCACATTTTTTTATTATTAATTTTTCATTAATTATTTTAATATGAGTGACTACTAATATATTTCCATAGCAATACAGAATATATAGTTAGTGTCAATCAACGATAAATTAAATATATTTGTATTAAAGTAGCTTCATTATTGGAATCTGTTACTATGAATTCTAATGCTAAACGTCAAACTAATTAGTTAGTTTCCTGTTTCATGTTCATATAACTTAGATATTTTAATTTAATATGAGTTACATTACGCAGAGCGCTGCAAAAAAAAAAAATTGCAGGATGACAACGCACAATTAAGTCATTCAATCCAAAGGGTAGTTTATTAGCTATCTAATACACGTAAACGAAGCACACAACTCTAACACATAGCAATTTTCAAGTAATACATTTTCTCACAAACACTTTAATGATAAATTTACAAATTATCAGTTCGGATACGCTTGCTCTATCTGTAATAGACTTTGGTTTCAAACATATTTAAAGAAACAAACCATGCAAACCATGTAACATAATATGAGACATCGCACAAGCGCAATATCATATCCATTTTAAAAACAAATATTATTATCAAAGAAGATTTTTAGTGATAAAATCATCGATAACAGGTTTAGATTTTGATTTAACCACATCGGGCCTAAGGAAATAAAACTGGTGCTCGTAATGTGATGCTAGCTGCATCCAATATTGATATGACATAAAATAGCGCGATATTTAAATGTCAAGTGAATAAAATAGTATAATATAACTGGAGAACGATCACATAAATTAAGTGCACGAGGCGGGTAGTGTAATGGCATTTACGTTTTTATCTATCCGATTCAATTTCCCACACGCAGTAATCCCGTTTGACGCCAAACCCCTCTGCGAGTTGTAATTCACATGTGTGTTTGGCTGGAGGTTGCTAGGGGGTTCAGGTGTAAAAAAAAAAGATTATATGATTGACGGCTTCATAAAATATTCATCGTGGATTGGGAATAAAAAAGGAATCGCTGGATGTATAAATAAAAATGAATTTGAACTCGGAACATAAGAAAATCGATGACGATAACAATCGGTACCGTCTTAAGAGAAAAAAATAAAGTGTTTTAACTCCAATTTACAACTATCAAATCTATTTGGAATTTTAACGACGCACAAAATATTTAGACAATAACATTATAGCTATATATTATTGTAAAAGAAACTAGGTACTTTCGACCTAGTAAATATAGACTATATTTCTACTATATTATATAGTAGGAAAATTAAAGTAAGAAATCAAACTTAAGACTTCCGGCCAAGTAAATTGTTTTGTTTTTATTTTTCATGATTGGTTTAACATACACAGAGTTTATTTGTTGGTAGCGGTGTACATTACTTAGATTTCATTTTGATATATTTTACTTAGTTACTATATTATATCACTTATTTTTGTTAAAATACTTCTTTTTTAAATTTTATTTAGCGACCATTTACACTGAGTTAACGAAGTGTTTTTGTCGGGATCCATGGTTACCTCAACATTTTAAAATTAATACATAGTTTAAAAAACTCGTTAATTACGTCTTTAATTCTTTTGTAATAGTTTTGCGATAGTAATCAGGTTATTATATACTATAAGGACAAATTAGAAAAATGTCGAACAAACCCATTAAAAGATACTATATATAAGTATAATAGACTTAACGGTATCAGCGTAATATAGTATTATAGAGAATATCGAACGTCTATAAATAGGAAAATAATGTATACAAATTTCGTGCCATGACTATATTTAATTTTTATTTTGCTCATAATGAAATTGAATACAATTCAACCCACGACAGTTGTTTTTGGACTTATAAAAAAATATTTTTCTAAAAAACATAAAAAATAGGAAATTAAAAGCCGGGCGTTGATAACTTTTTTAAATGATCAGAACATTAATTTCTAAAGTGATATATTATCACATAAAAATAAACCACTTTGATTTCAATCTATAAAAATATGCCGGACACCAGTGCCACTATAATATCGAGATTAGAAAGATTTTACATGGTATTATTCAAAATAATATTGACAAGTTTTTATCGAACACAATGATTGAACGCAAAAAATGATTGTAATATATCGATAACAATTACTGACACAATGTTGTTATTACAACGTGTTTGGTAAATAAAAAAACAAAATATTTGAAATTAATATAAAATTGTTTTTTGACATATTTTTGCCGGAAAAAACCAACTTCAATTGGGG